CATTGCATGCCCCTCAATGCAGGGCCGGGATTCTCTTCCACATTTCCACTAAGCAGTAACTTGGTGCGGGTGATACTGCTGATGGCGCGGTAACACGCGCCCCAAGACCAAGGATAATACTGTGTCCCAGCAAGGCGCGGCGGGTCCTGGTACTGTGTGATGCCGTAAGCCGGGCGCCGCGAAGTTATCCAAGTGGCGAACGTTGCTGGCGCTTGGCTTCCCCCGACAATGCGGGGTGCTGGACCTTGGTACCACGATGGGGTGGCCGGCACCGCCAAGGCCCTCACCATGTGTCATGTTAGGTCCCGGTCCTGACCCTAACGGCAGAAGGTGCAGTGCACGATGGAGTTTGGCCATTGTCATTGGCTGAAAAATTTCATCCCTTGTTTTGATTGGGGGTGGGGGGTAATATTACGGGTATCTGCGCACTATTGCAGCATACATGTGGCCCAGGTGGTTTGTCTTTTGATGCTTTGAAAGCAAAACCCCATCTGCCTTGATGGCTGGCGTGCTGAAGGGGCGAGTGGCGTATACGCGTCTTGTGGTCTCCCAGGTTTGGGCGTTAGAGACTTCAAGGTTTGACCAGAGCGTTCGCCACCGGCCAGTGGCAGCTGCACGAAGAAATTCTATGCGTCGAATCTTTGGTCGCTGGCTGGATTGGGCGTGGGGTTTGCCTGCAATTTCCTTATCAAAGTCTGCCATCACATGGTCCAGAACGGGGGCTGGCGTCTGTTGCCGTCCGGCACTGATACCTTTCTGGCGAGCCGTGTCCCAGAGGTGATGTGCTTCTCTATGGTGTCTATGCGATTCATGCCTCGTTGTAGCCTGCAGTGTGAGTTGGCCAGCGCGCGGAACTTCGACGAGTTTGCTTTCTTCCACGCAAGCAAGGTCTTGTAGATCCGCGGCACGTCTAGCGGAGTGTCATCCTCCCCCGCCTGGCCAGTGTAAGTGGTGATGTAGTGGTCGCTGTTAGGAGTTGGTCGCGCTGTCCAATCAGCCGCTATACATTTCTTTGCCAGTGCTACATCTGGCACGGAGCCTCTATGCCTATCGGTGGGCCGTGCCCTATTTCCAGTGTCGGCAACAAGGAATTCATTGCCAATGCGCCATTGCACAACGGCACCGCCTCGAGAATCAGGCGGGACTTTGTGGTCCCAAGCCAATGCGTGTTCATTGACGTCAGCACCGACAAGCTGTGGTCCGTCTGCGTTGAGTCTATAGAGGTCTTCCGAAGTGATTTAGATGGCCACAGGAGGAAGATACACTGATGAAATCGTCAGCTTCAACCTGCTTCCAGATGGATTGTTGCTTCTGCAAGTTCAATGCCTGTAACAAGCGTTGGTCCTGTCCCTACCTGTATCCCACCCCTGGTGGGGATTGGTGCGCTTCCGCCACGACAGGCGCGAGCTACCCCATAGCGGTGGTGCGCGTGGGGTCCGAAACTGGCTGCCTCAGGGGTGGGGGCATTTTTCCCCCACCCAAAAGTCAAAATACGGCATTATCATGGCAAAGCCACTTGCCCAAGTCTAGGCGTTTGGCTTGTGTTAGCCCTGTCAAGTTCCATTGCATCCGCCTCAATGTGGGGCCGCGGTTCTTTAGTAAGTCTTCATTTAAGTTATGAAAGGAGATGTTTAGAGTCTCACGCTTCTGGACCCTGGTGGTCCTGTCCGCAAGTTCGATCTATTCTGTTAATCGCTTGGTGCGGAATGCCCGCAAACGATAAATTCTTTTCGCTGGGTGCGGCGGGCCGCGCAGGCGAAACGACTGCTTGAATGTTGCGCTCATGAAGCAACGTTTAAATCTGAAGCAGTCCAGAAGAGAAGGCATAAGTTCTGCCTTGTTTTCGTTTGCAGTACTTTGAACCAGAGTGTTGTCCACCCAGAGTTTCAGTTTGGGAGGCAAGGCCTCTTTTAATATCTACGGTGCCAACCGTGCCTGCACTGGCCTAGGCTCCCCTGATGGGCCGCATGGGTTTTATCTAACGCCATCCACAGTCCTTATTTTCGTAGCGTAGGACCAAAAAAAAAAAAAACTGTACTCTACCCGTGCGGCTGGCGCACCCGTTGTTTTACCACCAGGTTTGATATTTTGATTTTTGTCATCCGCCAACCTCGAACATAATGGGCTCCCAACTTCTATTTTAGACGGGATAAGGCGATCCGGTGTTTAAATCTGTAATATTCCTCTATTCAATACCGATGGCTTCCGTCGAACAAATATTAAAAAGAATAATCTATACCTTACCTTCCTCCATTAAGTAAAGGGAGAGAGAAAGAGGGACCTTATGTCTGATTCCCCAAGCGAAAACCCCAATATCTCTGGATCGCATAGATGGGGGACTTTCAGTAACATCCAACCTTCCCTTTATAAGGAAGTTAAAGCTCGTAGTCAACTAACGAAAAGGAGGTGCTGAAAGCGCCTTTAACCCGCCTCCCGCGCTCCCCTTCGCAAGCCCTACCCCTTCGTGATGTCCGTCGGCAAAACCTTTGCCCCCCGCGATATACCATCCGGAGGATTGCTTTCCGACGCGAGATAGCCCCATGTGGCGTGTAAGCCTTGGTCCCGCAGAACCCTGTCGATCAGCCCCGCCTCTCACACCAGGGCATCGGAATACGTGCCTCCTGTTTTCGTGATATGCATCGCCGCCGTGCTATCGATACGTATATGGAGTTGAATCGGCAAATTTCCCTTGAAAGCGAGCAGGGCCAGTCCTGCGGCCCTCACTTCAACCTGTGAAATAATGTGGGGGGCCTGCTCCCATGCCCCCCCTGTGGCCCACACTTCCCCGCTGCCCTTAAAAAACAACGCACCCCATCCATATAAAGAGGCGTCGGGCACTAAAGTCCCTGAAGTCGGGTTGGCCCTCGGGGGGTTGACAGGATTATTCTGCAACAAAGTGTCCCGCCNCCCCTGTCCGACCTTAAGGGCAAAAGGGGGTAAAGCTGCCGGGCCATGGGCCTCTAACAGCCCCCTGTTGAGCCGCGGCGCTCTTCGGCGCACTGTTTTCAAAAAGAAATAATACCGAAAAAGCGAAACCCCTTGAACCCCTGCTGCATACACCATACGCGACGTAAGGCTTTCCAATTCCCCAACCGACATCTTATGGAGGGGTGTGGCACTCTTCAATTTCCATAACGTCTTGTCGCTGAGGGAAACCGTCTTCGCAGTGTGGTCGAAACAAACCCCTATGAATTCGTAACGCGCGGTGAGGGCCTCGTGCTCCCCCACCGTTGCACCGCATTCGCGCATATTTGTCATAATAATGTTCCTCCACGACTCTACGCTCTTGCGTGGCCCTGTGATGCGAAGATTATCTATCCACACGTGTAGAGTTAACTCCGCCGGGGCCGCATAACACGGTTGAACCGCCTCGGGGTCACCCGCCAAAGCTCTTGAGATCGTGTGCGCGATTTTTGAACTACATTTATACCCCATTGGGAGCCGTGTGAACTCGACCAGCTCCCCCTTTTCCGTGCGACTACGGAAATTCCCGCGCGTTTCGGCTGGCAAGCCTACCTGGAAAAAAGACGCCTTTAGATCGAAAATGGCGGCCGTCTCATCATAAACCGCGCCCAGGTATTGGGAAATAAGCCCCAGAGGGACCATAGCCTCATAGTCCTCTTGTTCATTTTTAGCTTTTGGCCATGCGATGAAACGGCGGCGCGGCCCCGACGGTTTTTCCCCCACGACTATAAAAGGCACAACCAAACCGGTAGTGGGTAGCTTTGATGCGGTTTGAATTAATACCCGCCTTCTTCATCGCCCGGGCATCCTCTGCTGTGATTCGAAAGAGAGGCCCTCGTTCCCCCACCCTAGAAATAGCTGGCTGTCGCGCCAAATCCCACACCGTATCAAACCGTTCCAGAGCCTTAGAATTGAGCCGGCTCCGGACCCAGCGCAGTGAGAGAGTATCCACATCTACCTGTTGTAACGGTAACCTGCGTTCGCCGTTCTGATCAGCCACCCGCGTATGATAGGTGCGTCGCAAAAAGCTATGCCCCTGAAAAAGTTGCCCCTTCTCCTTTCTTCTCTGCGGATAAGCCCATGAATGCCTCGCCCATTTGCGGATCCCGTCTGAATATATGCCGTCAGGTGTGCCGACTTGTTTATCAGGGCGACCCGCGGCCCTATGTAGCGAGCTGTGCTGCGTGGTGGCTCTAGGGGGCCTGCGTGTTTCCCCAACTGGGCCAGCAGGCGAGGGTCGAGATCGTGTTCGATTACCGCTGCGGCTGCATGTGCCAGTTCCCCTCTTTTGATGGAATGCGCTGTCATGCCGAATGGGCGGGGTAGGTTTTCCATTCCCCTTGTGGTTAACGTTGTGAGCCTTTCCCCCTCCGCCATTCCTTTGGTGATGCCTCCCCCCTCTTTGCACCTTCTCCCCCAATAACCACGTATCGTGCCGCTCTTTGGGGGTCGATCTTGAAAGTCTTTGGGAGGGCCCCCCAATCTACAATGAGGGCTTCCTTGGTTTGAAGGTGGGGAATGGAATTTTCCTTTTGGAGTAGGGCGATTTCACCCCATCGGCCGGCTGTGGCCCAGGCGGGTCTTAGGGCTACCCGATCGTTTTCCAAGGTCGAGAAATCGCCGACGAGGTCTAATTCCCACCTCTCCATGGGGCGGGCCTGTTTGATGGGGTTTGCGGCCGCCTTCCTTTGAAGACCGGCCAAAAACATCTGAGCCGGTGGCCGGCCTGAAGCCAGTAACGTCAGCAAAGTTCTTGTGTATTGCACCGCGCTGCTCTTGGCCAGTTGTAGACTTACAATAAAAAGAGGAACGTTTTCCTCCCGAACCTCGAGATCGTTCCTTTTCG